AGGAGCGAAAATTGCACTGTTTGAAGATTTATTAGAGAAGGCATGGAATTCATAAGCTTCCTCCATTGATCATCATACATATGCTTACAAGTTGAAACTAGAATGACAAGGGAAAGAAACATTCTCTGATTCTAAAATTTCTAACGCATATCATCACCTAGTTTTAGGTAAACTATGTCTTTTTATTTCATGCTGTTATGAGCTTCCAGAAGGAATACAAAAGGACGTTCATAAGTTGATTGTTACGATGCTTCTGTGGAACTTCAGAAATTTCATCCCGCACAAAACCATAATCAAGAAGAAAAGTAAGCATACCAAATATATTGTGGCGTGTTTAGCAAGAAGATTATATAATACTCAGGACAAGGTTTGGTGGTGACGAATGAAGCTATCTTCTCGGGAATGATTCCATTGTGTACTTTACATTTATACATAGTGAGTGGTTAATGTACAAGCTGATCGATTGTGTTGAACATATGTCTCATCACTCTTCCATGCAGGAGAGATGTAGACGTAGTGCCCTTGTGCCGACCATGATAGTGATGAATCATGACGTGTAAGTTCTTCGACATGCAACCAAACTAGAATGAAAGCAATACAAAACCAGAAAGAGAAGCACAAAATAGGAGGTGGCTCATGATGACTATTTACTTTTCACTAAAAGGAATGCCATGATCATTATGTGACGAGTTTTTTTAGTGTATTAAGTTTTGATCCATCATAGAAAATCTAATTTGGTATGTGGAAAGTCTTGTGGGATGTATTAACCTCTGTTCCTCATCTCACCGGGGACCCTTATCTTCCACAAGAATCATAATGCCTTTTTGCCACTTCTGGAGTTTTCCCTCCAACTGCCCATGCAACTTTGGCTCAACGTTCAGGCGGGTCAGTGTCATACACGGCTAGGGGATTCTCAAACGCCTTGTTCTCCTGAGCATTCCAAGTTCCACGGGATGATATCGAGCTAGATGCCATTAATTTCTTGCTAGTTACAAATAAAGTTAGGGAACAGAAGTTATACACCAAGGGAATTAAACAACCGAATATTACTATAGAAAATGTGAGGACATGGAAGAATGTATATATGTGAGGAACAAGTAATTCTAAGTGGGATTATTTGTCTTAGACTTGAGAGAGAAGACTGAATTCAAGGCTGATGAGAAACTGATCGGGAGTTGATATGTCCAAAAGAGGTGGCGAGTTGATATGTCCAGAACAGGTGGCAACTGAGTGATCTCTATAAGCTCCAGGAACCGAGGGTGGGGATCAAGCGAATTGGCCTATTAAAAAGTTGGAAAACTTGAAGAACTTTTGTGATTTGTCTCGTTAAGAACCAAAACTAAAGCAGGTCAAGGAACAACAGTACAACATCGAAAAATCTTCATCTTCATGAAAAGGTTGATTCAATTTGCATTTTTTTTGAATAAAATTCACTTGTTTTCTTTCAGTTTAGTTTCATAATCATATGATTCTTCTTGATTTATATAAACATTAAAAAGCAACAATTGTGCTTAAAAGTCACTTTTAAGCTACTTTCTCCAACATATAACTCGTGAATAAAAATGAGAAAATTAATCACATATATATGGGGCATCAGAATTATAAGTAGATACTACGATCAATACAATATCAATCATCTTTTAATTTCTGGACGACCTTAAAAATCCTTCATTAGAATATAATTTCAACTTGGGGGGGGGGGGGAAGGG